CTGGGAAGGGGGACATTTCCTGCAATCACCTGTGGTCCAGTGGGGAAGCTCTGGTGGTCCCAGTGATGAGAGTGGCAGCCTCAGGAGCTCCGAGCTCATGAGAGGAGAACCCGGCGGAACTGCAGGTTAGAGCTCCCCCAGGTCCAATCTCCCTCCCCTGCCGGTTGCCGCATTACACTGCTAGCGGGCCGGAGGGGGAGATATCTGATCTCCCCTCCAGTCCTGCAGAGCCGGCCGGGGAGAGAGAGGCACGGTTCCCGGTGCTATCATCATAGGATCATAGCACTGGGGAAATGGGTGCCGTGGCACACAGTTTGGGAACCGCTGCTCTAGCATGTAAGCTTATTGAGCAGGGCCCTCAGCCCCTCTCTTCCTGTGTGTCCAACTTCTCTGGTTACAATTACATGTTTGTTAGTCCACCCATTGTAAAGCGCTATGGAATTTGTTGGCGCTACATAAAAATAATAATAATAATAATATATAGTAAGAAGTACTTCTTCATTTGCTTCAATGTTTTTTTAATGCTCAGTACTCTCCATGAATGCTTCCATATTTCATATGCAGCTCTCCTCTCTTAAAGGGACACTACAGACACCTAGACCACTTCATCTCATTTAAGTGGTCTGGGTGTACTGTCCCCCTAACCCTGCAATCTCAGAAGGGTGGGGGGATGTGCAGAGGGACAGTGTAGTGTTAGAAATACAGATTTGCATTCCTAACTCTATAGTGTTCCTTTATCAGTAAGAAGTGTGGGACTCCCTTTGCAAATATAATAAGGGAACTCAGTTCCTATGGGTTTCGAATGCACTAGAATCCTACTTACGTACCATAAAAAAAGTAATATAGCTTATATAATAAACATGACAAGGATTGCTAAATTACTGGCACACATGACTTCTGGTGAGGATACGGAGCATAACATTTATTCACCTCGCAAAACCTTATACCCCACAATTACCAGCTGCCACTACAAGGTGGTAATATTTTAAGATATATTGAGCTGGAGGACATTGATTATTAAATTATAATGGTAAAAACAACTGATTATTAACTCAGATCGTAACATAGTGCATATTGCATCTAGCCAGAGGCCTTTAAGTGAATTATCGAAAGACATATTGGAATTTATATGTAAATCAGCTTGCTAAGATGCTTTATGTGTGAAGAGTGTGCCTCTATTTTGATTTTACAAAAAGTGCAGATCTTAATAGAAATTTACACTTAAAAAAAAAATAAAATAAACATTATTACATTCCTCTAGCTGTCAATCAGACAACAGATCCTGTTACTTCCTGGTTGTTTAGCCGACTGAAGCTAAACTCTAGAGAACAAAGATTTCCCATTGAGCTGCATTGTAAAATCTGTGATTGCACAGTCACAGAAAGTCTGGGGTGAAGAAGATGGGGTGAGCTTGCAAGTGCTGCAGCCGTTTTTAAATATACTGCAATGAAAAAAAAAAAAAGGCATGTTCAAATGCATGCCTTTTCCATTGGGGGTATATCTAGTAAAAAATGTTTGTTTTTTGTTTTTTGTATTTAGGTAATGGAGTGTCCCTTTAAATTGTTCCACACAGAAATTCCTATTGGGACCTGGATGGAGGGGTGGGGGCAGATCATATGTTTTACTGTTTAAGCAAGAGAAGAAAAACAAAGGATAAGTTTAACGAATTGGTTATCCCATTCTAAACAGATTACCTCTCAGAATAAAAAGACTACTTAGTTATCATATACCATATAACCTGAAGGCATAGGAGTACACAGGACATTTCATTAGGGTGTGCACTCAAGAATTCTTTCCCTATGTTATTGTTAATTTTTCATAAGAATTTGTTCCCTATGTTATTTTTAAATTTTTCATAACGTTTATACACATATATATACACTGCTAAAAAAAAAATGGAACAGTTAAACAACACAATGTAACTCCAAATCAATCACACTTCTAGTGATGTCGCGAACCCGAAATTTTCGGTTCGCGAACGGCGAACGCGAACTTCCGCAAATGTTCGCGAACCGGCGAACCGCCCGAAACGCCATTGACTTCAATGGGGAGGCGAATTTTAAAACACACAGGGACTCTTTCTGGCTACAATAGGGATGGAAAAGTTGTTTCAAGGGGACTAACACCTGGACTGTGGCATGCGGGAGGGGGATCCATGGCAAAACTCCCATGGAAAATTACACAGTTGATACAGAGTCTGGTTTTAATCCATAAAGGGCAGAAATCACCTAACATTCCTAAATCACAATCAATATGGATTGACACCTGACATATGACATATTGACACCTTGACATATGGATTGACACCTGTCCTAAGGATCCCTGATACACACTAACACAGAGCAGAATAGGGAATGTTACCCCAACATAGGGTCACTTGGCAGATATGGATTGACACCTTGTTACAAACTGCTATTTGTAACGGGCCCTTTAAATGGCAAATTGCCCTGTTTCCCTGGGTTGTGGAGAAGCCTCTTTGCCCGCCTCCTCCCGCATGACTATGGCCCCTGGGAGATTGTGAAAATGTATGCACTTTTATTTGGTGTGTATGGCCCTTTAAGACTGTCGGTGGGCATATTGGGGCTTATGGACTCTTTATGTGACTGGTGCTGGCCCTTTAAACACCTTTTTGGGACATCAGGAAGATTGGGACACTGCCCCTTTAAGGCCGTGTCCCCAGAC